AAAAATTAATTCCAAATGGGTCACAGACCTAAATGCAGAAGTTAAAACTATCAAACTTGGAGAAGAAAATAGCATTAAGTCTTTGTGACCTTGAATGAGGCAAAAATGTTTAAATAGGAAAAACAAAGCATGCAACCTAAAAGAAGATGATAAATTGAACATCGAAATTTAAAAACCTTTTGCTTTTCAAAAGTTAGCATTGAATAAACAAAAAGATAAATCACATAGTGGGAGAAAACATTTGCCACACATATATCAACAAAAGAATTAAATCCAGAATATACAAAGTTTTACAGCTAAATAAGAAAACAAGCAACGAATTTAAAAATGGGCAAAATATCGTTTTAAAAAAAATACNATTAAATCCAGAATATACAAAGTTTTACAGCTAAATAAGAAAACAAGCAATGAATTTAAAAATGGGCAAAATATCTTTTTAAAAAAATACGTTTTTATTGATTTCAGAGAGAGGAAGGGAGAGAGATAGAAACATCAATGATTAGAGAGAGTCACTGATCGGCTGCCTCCTGCATGCCCCCTACTGAGGATCAAGCCCACAACTCAGGCATGTGCTGACAGGAATCAATCCATCACCTACTGGTTTATGGGTCTACACTCAGCCACTGAGCCATACCGGCTGGGCTGGGCCAAAGATCTGAATAGACACTTCACTAAAGAAGATATATGAATAGCCAATAAATGACTTTATAGATGTTTAATATTATTAGTCATGAGGCAAAAATCCACTAGAATGTCTAAATTTTAAAAGTCCGACTATGCCAAGAGTTTGTGATGAAGTGGAATATCTGGAATTTTCAGACACTATCAGAGAGACTTTCTGAAGATACAATCACTTTGGAAAACAGTTTGGTGGTTTCTTAAACATTAAACATATCTACCTACTATATCACTTAGCTGTTCCATTTCTAGGTATTTATCTAAGAGAAAAATAAACAATATATTCCAACAAAGACTTGTATGTAAATGTTCATGGCTGCTTTATTTGTAATAGCTAAAAACCAGAAACTATTGAAATATCTTTCATTATGTAAATGAATAAAAATAATGTTGTGTAGCCATATATGTAAAGAACTATTACTAAGCAGATATATTCAACAAAGCAGATAATTACGCTGAGTGAATGAGTCCACACAAACAAGAGTGCATATGGTAATATTACTTTCATATAAAAACTGGTTACTGGGAACAACTTTGTAAGTCCAGAAAACAGACCAACGATTACAGAGGAAGAGGGAGGAACTGATTGGAAAGGGACACAGGAAATCTTTTAGGGGTGATGGAAATGTTATTTATTGCGATCGAGGCGATGGTTTCACAGATGTATACATCTGACAGATCTTATTCAATTGCATATTTTATATTTGTGAAGTTTATTGTACATTAGCCAAGTCATTAAAGAAAATTCAGTCAAGGACTCAAAGAAACCTAAATGATCTAGATTCCAGAATAAGTATATAACAGGCCCTAGGAGAAATGAGAGCCATAGTTATTTTTTAGCCCAGATCAAGTGGTAGAAAGTGACAGAATCTCCCATANAATAACAGGCCCTAGGAGAAATGAGAGCCATAGTTATTTTTTAGCCCAGATCAAGTGGTGGAAAGTGACAGAATCTCCCATAGAAAAAAGTCAAGAGAAACTGGTTAAATGTTTATTAAACTTTGAAGTGATGTAGGACAGATTAGAATCCTGAGGAGGCCCAGAATGTAAATGGACTCATTCTTCCATATTTGCTGCCTAATAATATACATGTGATAAGGCACACACACATTTGATACATATATGACACATGAAGGGGGAAGAACAAAAGTGACCATGGTCAAGAGAAAACAATTACTAGAAACCAACCAAAAAATTGCTCAAGGGACATCTGTAATATTTTAAATGAAAAAAAATTGCTCAGATGTTATTATCAGATAGGAACTTAAAAATAACCATGATAAATATATTACAGAACACAGTGGCAGAGTTGGATAGAATACACAGATAAGGAGTTTCCATTGAAAAACAGAAAGTACAGAAAAAGGAAAGAAACCTCATAGATACAGACAACAGCCAGGTGATTACCAGAGGGAAAGGGAGATGGGGGGGGGTGATAGAAGAGAGTATAGGGGTGATAGATGGTGACGGAAGGAGACTTCACTTGGGGTGGTGAACACACAATACAATATACAGATGATGCATTATAGAATTGTACACCTGAAACCTATATAATTTTATTAATCAATATCACCCCAATAAATTCAAGAAAAAAGTAAAATAAAGAAAAAGATACAGTTAAAATGATAAAAATGAAAAATACAATATCAGGGGTGGGGGGAAGTATATAATAAGCCTAATATCAGAAACAAAAAAAAAGCAAGGTGACAAATTACAGTGGAAACAATATGGCTATAACATAATATTCAAGAGAATGATCGAGATTGCGCTGTAGAGTTAGGCGGTAAAGTATGGCCATCGGATTACCTGTTTAAAGTTATGAACACTTGCATGATTCCTGCACCGCTTAAAATGGCGTTTAACACATGGTGTGAAGCAAAAATTCTTGGAGGTCAACACTGACCAATGATTATTTGTGAAGGACAGCTAATGGAGAGAGTCATAGCCAAGCACCATTTTACTGTGTGTAAAACGGACTGTGGCACTAGGCATGGAAACAGACCCAAAGTAAGATAAAAAAACTAAATTTCACTCTGGTTTGATTTAAATAGATAATGAAGGGCACAGCATATTGGGGAGAAAAAATATTCTTACCACCCTCCACCCCCTTGAGATATTTCTTCATTATCAATGAAGAAAATAGGGAACAAAAGTGTGAAGAAACAGTTCCTTCTAGGACGTTCTCTACTTTCTTTTGACCTTCCCCTTCCTGCTGAGCACCGTATTGTTGCCCAGGGCCCCCTACCCATAACCACCTTTCTTGTCTATGCCCCACATGATTGGGTCTTTTGGCTTCCTTTTTCTGTTAACTTTAAAAATCTATGTCCAAGAAACCATGCTCTTAATTGAAAGCAGAAGGAAACATGATAAAAAGTGACTTTTGCTTTTGTACAAGAGTGACTTTTGCTCTTCTCCAAGGGATACAATTCAGATGACTGCAGCAATCCAAGGGAATTTAGGTCATGGGGCAGGACAAGTGGGAGAGAAACTTTTGTGGGGGGTGGCCTTTGCAATACCCCTCACTTACGAGAGCCCTGCTCTTGGCCAACCCAGCAGGTGAGCTCTAGCTGGTAACCCAGTCTACAGCAGGAAAGACTCTGACAGCTTCACAGGGACGGGGCAGAGGAGAGGGGAAGGGCAGCAACTTCAGGTGGGCTTATTTGCTCTCCAACCAAGGTACAAACTCGATCAAGAAATATCACAGCTCTCTTACATACCACTGCTCAGTATCTTTCAGCACAACACAACACAGAAAGAGCTTAAGAGTATTCTCAGCCCAGCTGGTGTAGTTCAATGGTTAGAGCGTCAGCCTGCCCACTGAAGGACCTTGGGCCCATTCCCAGTCAAGGGCATATACTGGGTTGCAGGTTCAGTCCACAGGCAACCAATAGATGTGTCTCTCTCACATTGATGTTTCTCTCTATATGTATCTCTTTCTCTCTCTCTCCCCTCTTCCCTCTCTCCCTCCCTTCCACTTTCTAAAAATTAATTGAAAAAATGTCCACAAGTGAGGATTAACAAAACAGAAAAGAATATTATTCTCAGTAGTCACCACAGAAAAGAACCAGAAATAAGTGCTGTGGCATATTAAATTGTTATTTGGGGCAGAAGTGGACAAAGAGGAAGTTACTTACACTTAGTGACTGCAAATATTTTAAAACGTTACAAGAACAGAATTTTACCAGAAGAGTTTTCACTGGGAAGACTGCCTTTTGCATTTGCAAATGTATAATGCTAATCCAATCTAAAACTATCTTGTTTTAAATCTTGTCTTATCAAGTATTGATAATGCTATTGTGTTAACTAAATCTCTTCCCTGTTACTTTTGTAACCTTATAAATACTTCAAAAATGTTGCTATATCAATTAAACTTTACACTCACAAATATACAACTTAATGGAACATTGAAATTCCTTGTCTTATGTTTTACCAACTTAATATATAAACCACATATTTAACTACTTATAAAAGAGCACATCTGAATGTAAAATGACTGAAAATTGAGAACAGTAAGCAGCTAACAATTTTAGTTCACACATATAAAATCAGATTAGTAACATAACAAATCTTCTCTAATAAAATCATGCAAGATTTAAGTTACAGGGTTTCTCAACTTCATGAATAGAAACACCTGTTACAAGGTAAGGAGCCAAATAACTTCCTCGTTAAATCTAGAAATGCGTATCAAACTTTGGATAGTTTGAAACTGATTTATGAAGGTCTATTTAAAAGTAATGCATATGCCATATCCTTTCCCCAAACTCAAAAAGCGAAACGGTTCCACATGACCTAACCGAGCGGAGTCGGCCTGGCATTCTGGTCCTGTAGTAATCTAAGGACCCCTTACCTTCAATCTTTTTATAATATTCTCCGGCATAACCTCATTGCTCCGAGCAGGCCCGTATCACCTCACACACTGTTACCGGGTGTTTATGATGCACGGAGCACTTCGGTTAGGTGCCTGTGAGCAGCAGGAGAGCGAAACAGCAGTAGGACCTCCGCCCGCAGAGTGCGGGCTGATGGGGAAGGGGGCCACTCGGCGGCGAGGGGGAGCGCGGGGACTGGGAGGAAGGCACAGGCACTCCGCTCGGGCGCAGGAGATCAGGGAAGTTTCTGAGTAGAGCCAAGTTTCAGGTTTAAAGAGCGGGTGAGTACAGGCCTCTCAAAGATCTAGCAAGGGAAAAGGAAACCTAGGAAAGTGGGTAGCAGTGTTTTCCACAAAGGAATACTTCAGAGCTGTAGCTTAAGAAGACGAGGTGTTGCCCTTTCTCCTTCCACACCTTGGGTACACACACTCTCACTCTCTCTCTCTCCCCACTCACCTGCTTTCTGCGGTGCTCCTTTCCTCTCCTCTGTCCAGAACACTCTTCCACTACTCTCTATATTTAAATACTACAGGTCCTGCAAAGTCCAACACCTTGGCCCTATTTTAAAATCTCGATGAGTCCTTCATCTTCTCTAGAAAGCCTCCTTCAGTATCTCCATCTCGCAGAACTCTCTCCCTTCTTTTATGTTGTTTAGAAGTTATTAAAACTGCACCACAAATATTAAGCTGTTTGTTAAGTGCTGACATGTATAATTCTGAGGCTATTTCTGGGTTCTGTTATCTCCAGATGCAGACTTTAAATCCCCTCAAACCAGAGGCTGTGTTGTAAACTTCGTCTGTATCTATGTCACTGACAAGCAGAATCCATTATAAACTGTATCGCAACAAGTACAAAAAGGGGACTGAACGTCTGAGAAGAGTGTCATAAAGCATAAAGTAAGCTCAGCTTTCAAAAACTGCAAATTCAAAAGAATGTTCTTTTTGTTCTTGCACATATTGCTAGATAAAATGGTAATAATGGCATTTTTATTAGATATAGAAAAAGTTCACTGATGAAGGATGAAGAGATTCAAATAATAGTACATGACCACACAGGCAGAACTACTCTATTCATGTTCTGTTTCATCTCCATTCCTCAAGAAAATAATATTCATACTGGCAAAAATAAGACCAAACTCAAAATAACAAATTTAAAAGCCAAAGATGTAGCATGACATTAAATATTCTAAATGAGTTTGAATTCACTAATTTGGAGAAATTATACTGCAAAGTACTGAAAGCATTTGTGGATAAGTTAAGTGAGGAAGAGTTAAAATCATCTTACAGATACTGTGATGAACAGAAGGTTTGATAGAGAACAAAGAATCCAGCCACCGTCTCAATTTTCAAAATAGAGAAGGTGGATTCCAACAACTGTAGCCTAGAGAGCTTGACATTAATTCCAGGCATGATTCCCAAGAGATTCTTAAAACTATGGAACGTGAGCACTCAAAATGTGAAGTGCCGTTACCTACGAGCTAGTGTTATTTCCTCTTGGTTTTAATAGGGTTACTTGATATCTATTCTACAGAAAGTGGAAATACATTTTGGCAAGGAATTCGACCAAGTCTACCACAGTATACTCGTGGGCCACAAAAAGGAATGTAAACTCAGAAGGAAGAGAGTTACTTGGCTAGATAACTGGTTTGAACAGCCTAAAAAAGGAAGTAATTTATGGGCTCATGGAAAACAAGAAGGGGGCCAGGATTGTGCCAAGTGTCCTTTCAGTTTGGCATTCTACACACCTACTCAGGTGAAGCTATTAATCGTATCCTGATCAAGCCTGTGAAATGCCTCCACATTGGGAAGAACTGCTGATCTGTGTCATAGAATCAGAATCCAAAAACGCCTTGACCTTCTGAAACAATGGGCTAACTGAAGGTAAAGATTAAATTTAATTGCAGGAAGTATTTTTAGAAGTCCCAAATCCAGTGGCCAAATGTACGGTTGTGGAGAAAGAAGTATATTTGCACTTCAGTCAGCTGGCATTGTTCAGGACTTCGCTCAATATCTACATGTTTGGCTTTCACAGGACCGTAAACTGAAAAAGAGCAGCAAAAAAGGAAGTTAAATTACATAGTGTAGTACGGATGCAAAACAAGAAGTGGGGAGAAGACAGATTAAATTTTAGGATGATTAGCTATATGGATCTAGAGGAGACCCAATAGATCCAATGATACTAGTCTGCTCCTCGAGGTTTAGCTTGGGGACCACACTTCAAGTAAAACAGAACTGCCTCCAAAGCAGAAATACGCTGATGGTAATGAGACTCCCAAACCATGCCAGTTCAGGATAGGCTGAAGGAACTGAATATTAACATAGGGACTAGAAGAGTTGTCATATATAAAAACATTTTGCATAGGTATTCTAAGAGGTAAAAATTGGGATGTAAATATTATAGAGATAATTAGTATAGTTCAAATAGTACAAGAAAAGAGTTCTTATGCTAAGAACAGAGCAAATAGAGAAATGCCTCCTACACTGAAGATCAATTGCATCGCGATAAATAATTTGCCTAAATTAATCTTCATATTCTCTATGAATTCAGAAATAAATTCATACCGGTGATCTGCTCAGGAAGAAATGGGTAAGAATAATTTGAGTGGACTGGAAAACTTGGGAAAATCTGGAACACGTATGATGGAGATTTTGATAAGGAATTACCCAAGAAAGAATAAAATAAATTCCCAGCACTGTCAACCATTCCTGCGACAGAATCGGGTTGAGTGAATCAAGTTCTAGTGGCAAGAGGTTTAAGGGCTGGAGCAGAGTTGACATTGCTGACATTTGTGATAAGTAAAAATAGAGAAATATGAGAAAATTAAGGGTGGCCAAAGGAAAATAATGGAAGAGGATGGTGTCAGGTTAACGGTGAGTGAGTGGAACTATTGGAAGGATAGGAGCTTGTGACCAGAAAGAGAATGTGAGATTCCCAGCTTTTCTGCGGGGGTAATTCTGAGTGACCTGAAGGCCCAGGTGGGTAATACCAGAGGATTCCCGAAGGGAAAGCAGTAGTTTAAGGTCCTGTGAAAGCCAAACGTGTAGATATTGAGTGAAGTCCTGGACAATGCCAACTGACTGACGTGCAGAAAGAAAAACCTCTGTTATTTTAGATTCCTACGGAAAGTGGAATGTTCGGAGGTCAATAAACACTGGTAATGGGGAGAGGATAGATAACATTACTGAAGGTTGTAAACTTAGAAAGACAAAGGGTAATTGGGAGGTAGTGAAAGAAATAACAGTTTACAAGCAGTTCTGAATAGGCTGTAAGGCTTCCGAGAGAAAATCATAATATTCCATGGAGGGCCATTGCAAAACAAATATCATTCTTTAAATTGTATTCTTGAACAAGACAACCTGTGGCATCAAAGCATCACAAAAGTAATTCAATAATTACAAAGATGACACAGTTAAACTTATTAGACAATTACTACATGCCAGTCACTGAGTCTAATGATGAATATCCTGAGGGAGACTGGAGTTTGGTAAAAGATACTGACATCTAAACAGGTTTGTTGTTGTTTTTAATCCTCACACTTGCTCTTCAGAAAGAGTAGAAGGAACAGAGAGAGAGAAACATCGATGTGAGAGAAACACACAGATTGCCTGCCTCCCGCAAGCCCCGACCAGGGCCAGGATCGAGCCTGCAACTGAGGTACGTGCCCTTGGCTGGAATCAAACCCAGGACCCTTCAGTCCGCAGGCCGACCCTCTAACCACTGAGCCAAACCGGCTGGGGCTAATCAGGCATTTTTAGTGTAATGTAGCATAGCACAAGGGAAAATGTAGGTTAGGTCGGACCTGGGAATAATGTCAGGATTAAGAAGTTTCCTTGGTCTGCCCAACTTCCTTTCCCCAGGGTGTTCACTCCCCAAGCCATTGTCTCCTGTAGACTTCTTGCTAATTCCTACCTACTATGGTGAGAAGGAGCAGGTGGTATGTGAGTTAATTAATTTGAGTATCCTTGGATTTTCTGAAAGGGAGGGTTCATTTTAATAAAAGATTATTAATGACTAGAAAGCATTCCAGGTTGGTGAAGTTAGTAATTACGAGCAGTGGAAGTCACGTTTTTATGATAAGGGTTGGGGGGCACATGCCCCAGAGACTCTCGAGGTAGTCTAAAGCTGATAAAGAAAAGTGGAAATGTGGAAAACTTCACAATAATTAGTACTAATGTCTCTTATAACTATGGTTTATTAAATGACCTTGCTTTAAGGTATTATTTTGAAAACCGTTTTAGTTAATATTACATTGTACTAAAAACTAAAGAAGTGATAACTAAAATTAATTTCTATTAGGAATGTCAATAAAATGTTTTATGACTAAATGTCAACAGTTTTGTCATAGACATTTTCAAACAAAAAAAATCTTTATTTAACATTACTTTTTTGATAAATAAAGATAGTGCATAACCCTAAGTTTGGCACAAGCGCCTAATCAATATTTACTAAATAAACCTAGATGGCCTAGAAACTAACAAGCATTGACATTATTGATAATTTAGAATGAAAAATATCAGTTTCTACAAATACGCAGAAAAGTAATAAATAGTAATGTTAAAGGAAAGTTGCTTGGGTAAATATTTATAATGTAAGTGGTATAAAAATCAGTCTCATAAAAGTTATATATCCTAGCAAATAAAAGAAAAGCTAAGAAGCTTTCTAGAAAATCTGTCATATAGAAAATATTCTGAATAAATAATTTCCTTCAAAATTTTCCATCAATAACATACTTTTTTAACTTGGTTATATTCAAATATTGCTTTAAATTTCCATTTCTCTCTACCTGGAAAGATTCAGTCTTAAGACTAATTTGATTTTTATCTATTTCTGAAAAAGTTTAAATAGAAACTTTTGTGGGTACATACATTCTTTTAAACTAACTTATAAAAAAATCAATATTCTCTTCCCTATACTCACAATTAATTGTTGGTGAATGCAACCTACAAATGTAAATATAGAATTTAATTTCTCCTGTATGGTTTCATACAAAACTTAAGGTTATGCAATATCTTTATCAAGAAAGTAATGTTAAATAAAGATCTTTTGTTTGAAAATGTCTATGAAAAAACTTGACATTTAGTCATAAAATATTTTATTAACATTCATAATAGAAATTAATTTTAGTTATCACTTCTTTAGTTTTTCGTACAATGTAATATTAACTAAAACAGATTTCAAAATAACACCTTAAAGCAAGATCATTTAATAAACCATAGTTATAAGAGATATTAGTACTAAGCATTGTGAAGTTTTCCACATTTCTTTTTCCTTTGGTGTTGCAGGGATAAGTAAAATACCTTTACATTTCCTTCTGCATTCTGTAAATGGCAGCTGTCTTAGACCCATTATTTTCTACCTGAACATCTAGAAACAGGGCCATTAAGGGGCTATTTATATTGAAACACCAGAGCAAGCACAAGTACTTTATATTTTTGTTGGGTTTCAAAGAGAGAAATGTAATTTTATTTCTTTGTCATATGTTAGAAAGAGATCTTACAGTACAAGAAGAAACAGAAGATACCCATTTATACATTATTAGTTTCTACTAAATTTCACCTACCTAAGTTTCCTGTCTGATATATTTAAAAACATACAAATCAATCA